CCTGCTTGTGGGGATTATACACCAGCAAATAGTGACCCTGCTTGTGGGGATTATACACCAGCAAACAGTGCGCCTGCCAGTGGGTGTTAGACGCTGGCCATGACCTATAGAGGAGATGTCTATTTCGTTCCCATACTGTATCCGTTTTTTCGTGATTGCACATGTTGGCATGCTATAAGTTTGATAAGGGGCACTCCATATTTACTTACTGAGTTTATCTCATAGTTTTCCTTGTCCACCATTTCAGGAAGTGAAACCGAGGACGGGGAAACCACGGGAAGTGACGAGTTAGAAGGCTAGCCATATTGTAATTGGATATAAATTTTAGATATGAATCATGATCTTGTATTTGGAGATTTTATGATATGAGAGCCAATTTTATAATTTGATCTTCAGATTTTGATGGTATCAGATTGTGATATGATAAGTCCGAGTCTTGTGCATTCGTGGAATCCGTCTCACGAGTGTACGGCGTCTGTCACGTCCTCGGATTTGGGTTCTGGGGCGTGATAGGGTGGAGGATTTTTGGCTTTGCTTTTGTCTTCCTTTCTGTTATTTTCTGGGGGAGCAAATTGGTCCAAGGAATTCATTACAGCACGAAAGCGTGATGTGAAGTGTGATGTCCACCAGTCTTAATAAGCTTTAGTGCAGTTGGGATGGCTAAGTGGAGGTAGCTGAAAGTCGATTGAGTTGAGGAAAGTGTTGGTAAGTTGAACCTGCTCTTGTATTGATTCAATGTCAGGAAAGAGGAACCTCAAAGGGAAGCAAACATTTCCAGTAAACTGAGGTGGAGCAGGGATGTCCTGGCAATATCTAAGTTGCCGACAAAATTGATTAGGAACGTATAGCTCTGAGCTGAACCTTGATTGTGGCCCCCTAATGCTGCAGCCTATGAATAAATCTCTTGGAGAGATGTAAGCTTTCCAGCAAGCTTTGAATTCCTCACTGTTCCTATTTGCTTTATACCATTCTGGGCCATACTTCCTTTCAAGAAATACTGTAAATTATGCATTTGGCCGGTCAATTGAGAGGGATGCAAAATAGTTAAAATATGTCTTAAAACTTTGCGGCAGCTTCTTTGCATCTTGGACGCACATGCCGTAAGTTAGCAAATCTTCTTCATCAACTTTCTCAAATTCAAGGGCGACAGTTGGGAAATAAGAATAAACCCACAATTGTAGGACCCAAAGAGCACCACTGAATTTCCCGAATGGAAAGATGGTGACATCATAGCATCCACGGTATATATAGCTGAGCATAAATTGAGCAAGAGCAAATTTTTTACCATGTGCCAAACCGACAGCAAGAGGAATGAACTCTTTGGCAACACACCTCCCAGTAAGGCAGACCATAAACTTGCATATCAAACATAATAAAAAGGAAATATGCTCTCTTCAGTTTGGATTCTTACTCTTGGTGGCGAGTTGAGTTCCTTTGGAAACTCAAGAAAGTTGTTATGGTGTCACCGGGGTCATATTCTTCTACAGGAACAGCTGGTAGCAAGGCAGAAACCTCTTCTCTGATGCAAGGAAGACCAGTTAAAGAACAAATGTCAAATAGAGAGATGGACATAGCACCACAAGGAAAGTGAAAGCAATTATAAGAGCATGACCAAAAACACATAGCTGCTATCAGAATGGCTTTGTTTACCGGCACTTGAGTTGTGGTCATATGAATAAATTCAAAAATTCCAATTGCTTTCCATATGTCTGCAAAGTGAGGTTCTAACCTTTTTACCCATGCTGGCCATTCACCTTCAGTTACTATTGGCCATGCAACGATGCATGTTGACCACTCACTCCAATCTAGTTTGGCTTGAAAGGGTAATAGATGCTTGCTCGGCTGAGGGTAATGGAGGCGTAGGAGTGCAACGGTTGTTTCCTTCAAAACTGGACCCAAATAGATGGAATTGTTGAAGACGATGTGGATCTGGTTGTTGCGGTAGGAAGGTTCTTCATCAATAATTTTGGCAATTTGTTTTTGGATATTGCCGAATTGATGCCAAAGGGGCTGATTTGATTTGAGGCTTCTTCCTTGCTGCAATTCACGAGCAGGAAATTGGTTGGCTATGGCTAGAATGGTTTGACAGGGATGGCGTCGAGAACTAGAAAAAAAAAATTAAAAAGAAAAAGAGAGAAGTTGCTGCAAATTCACGGTGATGATCATGTTTTATAATGAGTTAGAGTCGGCAAGGTTTCCAAGTCCTAAGTGTTGAAGAATTGCAGTGGCGTCGCGTAATTAGAGTCGGTCCGTTTCCGATTCCAAAACGGAGAAGAAACATAAATTGAAAAAAGTGAAAAAGGTGAAAAAGGAAGGAAGCCCTTGAGGAAATTTGGAGTTTACAAAAGAGGACAAGGGCACAAAGAAGTTGAGTATTGTCACTAAGGTCCTAAATTTTTGACACCTACTCCTGTAAGGCCAAAAATTGGGGGGCAATGTTTACACCTAATTTTACAACAAATGGAGTGCTGCCATGTGTTACCCATGATGACAAATATTTTATTAGTTGAAAGTTGGTGTGAATTTCTTCAGATGAGATTGAGTGGTTATTTCCATAACGGCAGCAAAACCGTTCTTTTGTTGCGAGCTTCTAGGAGGATAATCGCAGCACCAACAAATTAATCAATTTGTTGCAGATATTACGCTATCGTTGGTCTTTCAAGATGCTGCCGCAGATCTCCACCATGCTGCCAAGCTGCTATAAATACCTAATGATAAAATCAAGCAAAGGATCGACATCTCACACAACAAACTCAGCACAATTTCTCTTTATACTCAGAATCATCTTAGTTTCAAGCCCTTTAATTCAATTTTAGCTCTACGCTTCAACCTATATTAGTTTAGCAATTCGATTATTCTTTTGTTGAATTTGCAATGGTGAGTTTCGCTGCCTTCAGTAATATTTCTTTGTAATCGGATTGCTTCCTTTCCTTTATATTTGTTTTCCAGATTTCCTTTAATTTAATCAAATGATGTCGACATTTAATTTCATGTTCAGTTCCATTTATGTTAATTTACATTTCATGCTGCCAGTAGATTTTTCATGCTTCGGGTTTTATTTACTTTAACTTAATTTACTTTTGCTGCAATTAAATTTCCTTTTAAAGCTTTGTTTCAATTCAGTTTGCGTATTTAAAGTTCATTTAGATTTTCAATAGTTTAGCGATCATTTGTTTACCTTGCAATCTTAACTTTTCTTGATTACATTAGCTTTGAGGAGTCCTTGGAATCATATCCAGGGCATTTTGTCGTATAACCCATTTAGTGCAAGAAATTCATCCCTCGTTTCTGCCAATCGTCTAATCTTTAAGGTGCAATTCACGACGTTCTTCCATCAACTCACAAGCTGAGTTCCACGCTAGGAAAGAAGAGAGGGTCGTCGAAGAAATCTTTCTTGTTTTGAGCAAAGCAAGTGGCACGCCATTTCATCTGCCACGTGTCAAGGAGATTTTTTGGGATAACAGTAAGTAAAATATGGATAGCCCTTGATAAAAATTTTAAGCATGCTAGATAAACAGTTTACATAACAAACTTTCAATGATAAACCATTCATCTATAATAAAACTCATCAGTAGTCTCATCTATAGGTCATGACCAATGTTTATAAACCTCTCACTGGCAGGCACAGTAGTAGTACTAGTGTTTAACAACTCCCATTGGCAAGCGTTAGTAATAACCAATGTATTATCCCATTGGCAGGATTACAGAATGGACTGGTCATATCAGTAAACATGTCGACATGTGCCAGCGTTTATAAACCTCCCACTAGCGGGCACAGTAAACATGACCATATCAGAGACAAAACCATGCAAAATTTACAGAAAAACCCGAAATTCACAATCAATCTCAAATTTCATAAATAACCAGAAAATTCCATGTGGGCATGGATTTAACAGAAAATTCAGAACTTACAAAATTCTCAGTTCATCAAAGTAGTTCAGTCAATTCCAAATAGGCATGCTCTACTCAACGCAAATGAAAAACAATTTCATGTGGGCATGCTCAACTCCAGAAAAACAATGAAATTCTCATTTTCATTCCAATCATGCTCAATTCCAGAAAATAATAATTTTCATAGAAATCATCACAATTTTCATTTCAGTTTAATCACACTCAGATGCTGATAAAATCAATTTAAACCTTGCCATCATCTCAAAAACAATTTAAAACATGCTTTAAAACCGAAGGGCTTTATCATGATTTACTTACCTCACTCGCACAGAACAGAAGGCTTAACCCAAGTGCTACAGTGACACAACGATCAAAACCTAATCACAATATTCCAAAGTTAATACTGCACTACCACAAATTCAAAGTGAAATCATCATTAGCATTACCCTTAATCATAGTGCTATTTCTATCAATCTCCACATAACCGGACATCTCCAAATTTATTCTTATATTACAAACTAAACATTTAAATCCCCGTTACTCGTTGGACATCAGTGCGTGAACAGTGCCCGTGAATAGTACTTCAACTTCCAAAATTAGCAAAACAATAACTAATCTCATGGGATTTTTCTCCAAAATCACAACAACCCAATTCAAGCTAATTTACACTTAAACTAAGCTTAAAAACACAGCTTAAGCTACCAAAATTTCCCCATTTCTCACGGGCAGCACATGGAGAGCATGGCTTTGGCAAACCACAACTCACACACACTGGATTATTCCTACACAACATCACAACAGCCAATCAAGCCATTTCTACATGAATTTAAGCTAAAATTATATGCTTTGGCTGCCGAATTTCTTCCTATTTCCACAGAATTTTCAGACAACCAAGGGTATCAATTCAACCAATTAAAACTCAACAAGCAGCAATTAAGTGAGTAATTCGGACTTGGAAGAGCCTGCAACTTACCAAAATTTCCGGCAAGCAAAGGCCGGTTCCGGTTGGGAAGGAAGCCGACGGGTTTTTGGAGGAGAACCACCGACAATTGAAGGAAACAAAGGAAATTAAAGTGAACCCAAGCCAATTTAAGGATGAAAAAAGGAATTCATGGCTGTTTCCTTACCTAAAATCGAAGATTCATTCTCACCCAACCAACAGCAAGTCACGGACAGGGATGGAAGAGCAGAGCAGATCCGAAAATTTCTCTGCAGGGGATAAGGTTTCTGTAAGGACAGGTCCGAGGTGCCAAGCCTCGGACTGCTATAGTAATTCCTTTATGACCGAAGTGAGAAATGAATCCAAAGCTCCCTGCTCAAATAGCTGCATGACAATGCCAATAAGCATGCCCGCACCTAATTCCTTATGACGAGTGGCACAACAAGTATGGTGGACATCCGTGCATCTGAATACCTCTCAAATTCCCAGTCCCGAAATAATCGTCTAGATAGACACGTCAGGCTCCGATTGTCCTGCTAAGCAAGCCACGTGGATACCCCACAAAGGCCTATAAATACCCCTAGGGGTCACCTCAGAAAGGTAATTGAAACCAACCCTAAGCTCTTTTTATCTCCGCTCTAAAGGTAGCCCCGATTATTGCTAACTTAAGCATCAGAGTGTCTACCCCGAGTTCAACCTCGGGGCTTTGCAGGTCTTCCCAGAGTGCAAGCGCGGACTGAAGAAGGACTCCTGGTTTGGTGCAATTACATTGGCACCATCTGTGGGAATCGAACTGAAAGCCTTCTAGTTGCTCTTTCATCATGGTCCACACTCGATCAGTCAGAGCTGGTAATTCATCTCTGCCTCATGGGCAGGGTCAACCCCCCACCAACCTTCCACCTCTGATCCCACCTCAACTCCCACCTCAGCCTCCACCTCAGGTCCTAATTATGTTCCCTCTTATTGATCATGCAGAAGGAGGAGATGAAAACCAACCTCATGCCTCAGCTCATAATTCCACTTCCACTGCCAACCAAGACGTAGTGACAGCTCAGCTTATTGCCATGCAGCAATAGTTCGGTGTTTTTCAGTTAGTACTGGCTCAGCTTTTAGCCAGAAGCAATCCTAATGACCCCCTCATTAATTTACTGAACCCTACTCAACAACCCCCAGCTCCACAACAAAATCCTCAACCAGTTCAGCATGCTCCCGCTATTAGTGAATCTCAGGGTCAATCCCATATAGCACCCGCTCAACAACCTATCCCTGATGATGTTACTCGCCGCCTCGATAGCTTGGAAAAGCTAGTGGTTGAACACCGAGGTGCTCCACCACCACACCATGCTGCTGATTCTATACCTCACCCTCTGAATACCAACATTACACTGGAACCCTATCTTGCTGGCTTCAAAATACCACAACTGGAGACTTATGATGGAACGAAGGATCCCGATGACCACCTGCATGCTTTCTACTCTTGTATGCAAGCTCAGAACGCCTCCAACGCGTTGATGTGCAAAATCTTCCCTTCTGCTCTTCGAGGTAACGCCCGAACTTGGTATTACAGTTTTACCTCTGAGGTCAATTAGCTCATATACAGAAATGGCATCTGCCTTTGCCACTAAGTTTTCCAGTAGAAGGTTGATTAGGAAAACTACGTCTGAGCTGATGAGAGTTAAACAAAGGGATGGAGAATCCCTAAAGAACTATATGAGCAGGTTCAATGATGCGGTATTGGAGGTTAGTTGCTTTGATCAAGCTGTGGGGATTGCAGCTGTAATCTCCGGTCTTAAGCATGACAGGTTCAGAGACAGTTTGATCAAGCATGCTGCCGCCACCTTCAGCGAGGTAAACGATAGGTCTTTGAAGTTTATAACCGCCGAGGAGTATGCCTTGGCGCAGAATCTGACTCCCATTAAGAACCAGAACCCAGAGTGGAGAGATGACAATCCGAGCCGGAAAAGGATGAGGATGGCGCAGAACCGAGGTCCAGTGTTGACCT